AGAAAGTTGTATATAATTTTCCATAGTCTTCCCATGAAATGGGCAGTAGATTCTGTTGTGTACTGTGTCACATGCATGATTGATACCTCATTCATGGCCCTTGCTTGCCAAGCTGCTCTTAATCTACTAGCAAGCATGGCTAATGGAGTGTCCTAATTTCTTTAGATTGTCTATCTATATTTCTTGAGATAGAACTGTTCTTGAATCCATTCTCTCATTCTCAAGGGTATTTAGGGGAAGATTTCTTAAGAAGCAAATTTTGAGGAAGAATACCCAGAATACATTTCAGATGGGCTGTTCTGCCATGTGTTGAATGAAGCCGGAAGGAATGGGGTTAATGACTCAAACTGGGCTTGGAGTCAACCAAGCCCAGGTGGGAATGCCAGATCTCCTTTTGCTTCAACCCTGGATGGGTTAAACACACACACACTGTTTATCATTTATTAACAAAAACATTCTTGAATGCCAACTTTGTGCTAAATAAAGTCCCTGAAAGCTGGTATAGAGAAATGAAAATATAGAATTGTCTCAAACTCCAGGAACCATATGGTTTAGGGACCAGGTAAGGATGTAAGAAAAAGTAGTCGCAAGTCTTTATGAATGGTTAAGCAATGGACAGAGATGTGCAGGAGGCATAGTGGGGTAACAGTGCCCAAGAAGAGTGTCCATGCTGGGCTCCCGTGATGGTGAGCAGGAAGGTGATAAGAGCCAACGGAGGGACATACTCAAATTGTCTAAGGATTGCTGAGCATAAAGGATGAAGGGTATGTGTGTATGAGGGTGCTGGGCAACTAGGGAGGGCATGAAGCTTAATGGGGGCTTTTATCCAGTACTGAGGAATATTGACATTAGTGTAGGCAGGAGGGAGCCCTTTTGGCCAAATGGATAATGAGGGTGGTAGGCTGGAGAAGGAACAAACTTAAAAAGAAAGCATCAGGGAACAAAACCAGAACCAAATAGTCTGATGGACTGAGGATGCAGCCAGGATGAAGGCAATGGCTGTGAAGGCCAAAAGCTGAATATGAAAAGCAAGGGATATGTAAGAGGTAGAATTTGAAAAAAATATGTTGTCCTCATTGATAGCCACTAGCAGTGAAATGCTTGTGGACTTTGGTACCTGCTGAGTGACCTTTTTCATAGAAAGAGCAGTAATCTTGCCTGCTGTTACATGGCTGTTTCTATTTGAGAAATGGAACATTAGAGGTTTTAAGGAAAACTATAACCCACTGAGGGGATTAGCCCCAAGATGCTGTGACATTTGTCATCAATTCTCAGGTTCCAGGACCCAGGAGGTCATTAACTCCTGGCTGATGGTTCAGGTGAGCTGTTCTGCCACGTGTTGAATGAAGCTGGAAGGGCCCGGGTTTGGAGTCAGGCAACCTGGGTGGGAATCCCAGATCTCCCTTTGCTTCAGCCCTTGATTCTCAGCAATGTTCACTTTCTATAACATGGAACTAAGAGGACCTAGAGAATGGTTGATTGCATTTAGTGAGTTCTTGCTTAAATAAATGTAGCTGTGACAGAGCTAAGATTCTGCCATGACTATGGCTACCTACACAGTCCACACTCTTCTTTGCTCTTTTTCTCCCCTTCTTTGACATTAAACCTGTGCATTACTTTCATTATTATTATTTTTTTTTTCAGAGCTGAGGACTGAACCCAGGGCCTTGCGCTTGTTAGGCAAGCGCTCTACCACTGAGCTAAATCCCTAATTCCTCATTATTATTTTTAAAGATGTGCTAGAAGCTTAGTTTTATATTTCTCCAATAGTCCAAGAGTTATTTATGGCGAGTGTGACATGGTGCAGTGACCACAACCCAATGCGAGTGTTTTAAAAAATAAGGAAAAATATATTTTAGGTTTTGTGCTGTTACTGATTTTCTAGGTTTAGCTTACTGTCATCAGAGGATATTGTTTGTATTATTTCTACCTTATGGGAGTTATTATCTCTATATGACCTAATCTCTGGCTAATTTTGTGCATGTTTTATGTGGATTTGAAGGGAAAGTGTATTCTCTAGTATCAAGGTACAAAATCCTGGATATATCCAGGGATACCTATCTGAGTTTTCTATATATATGTTTATCTCTGTGTACCACATGACCTGTATTGGACTGAGAGTGACATATATTAAATTATCCATCACACTTGTATTTCATCATGAACTTTCTATGGTTTCTGCTATAAAAGTTGCTGCTGTATTTTATCATGTGTTGTGTATTAATTCTTATTCAACATTCCTTGTGTATTCTGGCCTTCAGCATAAAGCAGCCCTTCCTTGCCTTATTTTATGCTCTTCAGCCTGCATTTACCTCGTCATATACCAAGACTGAAATCGGTGCTTTGCGTAGCTCTTCTCTGCGTTTGCTTCGTATGTTCCCTGCATCTTTCACCTTCTAAAATCACTTTGTGTTAGGAGCACTTCTTGTGCTCGGCAGAGTTTGTTTTCCTGATGTTACGTTTCTGACTGGCATGCTATATACTTCCCAACATGCAACTGAAATACCACTAACTATTTGTTTCCTTTGTCATTTCTTCTTTCCTTCAGCCAGCCTCAAGTCTCACCTAGGCTTCTAATCTCCTTGGTAGCAGCAGTTTGGGACCCATCTGGACCTGATGTCTCCTCCTGAGCCATCTGCCTCAGCTGAATCCTCATTTTTAATTCATGTTGGTTCTCATACTCCAGCAGGGAAGACTCCATCTCCCACACAGGAGGCTCTGCAGAGAACTCATCAGTGGTGAACTTGAACAGCAGTGGCATAAAGCTTGAAAAACCCATTCTCCAATTGGGGTTGACACACATAATGAAATTTCCAGTATTATTGATGCTTGATGGTGTCTCAAAATAGTCCTGATAACTGACTGACTTAGGGATTATGTTACAGCACATAAATTCACTGCTGGAAAGAACCATAGAAAAAAATCTGCAGGAAATTTCTCCCAAAGGCATTAATCAATTTTATAATATTCCAGGAAACTTTCCAGTCTTGGGGAGGAGGTCAGTGATATTGTGTAGCTGGCAGGAGTCAGAAGGGTTCCTTGGGCTGCCTAACTTTGTCATGCATTGTGTAGGTATGACTTGAGACCCAGCCATGCTGGCTGGTTATGTGATACTGAAATTTATATAATACTCCTTGCTTCAACTTTTGTGCATTAAAGAATGGGGACAGTAAGAAAATCTCAGAGAGCTCTTAAGAAGACCAAGGAGAGTTATGAAGCCAAATATTAGACAGGTAATATAAAGGACCAGTCATAAAATTACTTGAACCTCCTAAGTGTGAGGGACAGGAATGAGGAGGAGAGTTCATTCCTTTGTCAAAGGAGAAAACTCTGCTGGGCTTCTGTGACCTAGAGCCCTGTCTGCAGCAGTTATGCACTCAACAATATTCACTCCTTCCTTTCTTTTCTAGAAGGGCAGAAGTCTGTCTTTTTAATGTAGAATTTCACAATTATTTAATATTACAACTAGTTCACATGTATTTAAAATACTAGCTAGACCGTTACAAAAATAGATACCAGTTGTGTGTACCTGTAGGCGGCCATTTTGCAGTCTCTGGACTAAATGAATAAGCATAAAGCCTCATATAAGACAAGCATTCCTCAGACTGCTAATTCATTACATCTGAAACCTTGACATCATATTCTTAGGAGAAAGGACTTATTTTATTAGGTAGGTAAGACCCAAGGGAAGAAGAAACTCAGAGCAAGGAAGACATCTGCTGCAGGCCCAGGAAATCAGCAGAGATAGAGGGAGGAAAAAACAGAACAGGGTGGGTTCTTCATGGAAAAACTAACCCCTCATTCCTCTTGCTCCAACTCGCTGGCACTCTCATATTATCATTCAATCCCAGGGCAGATATAAAGACACCGAGAGGGCACTGGGGAGCAGGGCGTGGAGATGCTACAGATGGTTGGAGTAAAAAAGGACCTGGTAGCTTCTTTAGAGTGAAACTACTGAGATAAGAACTAAAAGCCACATTGAGTAAGGAGGCAAGGAGTTCATTTTCTTCCTGTCCAAATCTGTTTGGCTTTTCCCCATCAGCAACTGTGAACCTAGCCAAATTCTTCCCATTCGTGGGAGCTGCAGCTGTCCCACACATGTTGTAAATAGGACCAGTAGAGCTGTTCCTATTTTTAGCACTCTAATGTGGATGCAAGGTCACCAAGAGTCTCTACTTGCTGGCTCAGCTCCTCAGTCTTCCTGCTTTCTCTCTTCTTTCTCTACCTTTATGCTTAATTCTCTTTTTTTACACCTCTTCAACTCTGACACCTATATTTTTGTCATTGGGATGCAAAGAGACTCTATAAACATTTACTTCCTCTTGGCTGCCTTTCCATGGGTCCTGGATTGGGTGGCAGGCATATCTATCCTATGGCATGAAGAGTTACTTATGGACTTTGGAAAACTTGACTGCAATCTTGAATGGAAGTCACATCTTTTTCTCTTGGGAGAGAAAAGAGCTTTAAGACTTCTGCCATCTGCCCCCTCCAGGCAGACTACTGAGGACACTGAGGCTCAGGTGGATTTGCTTTGCAGTAACATGAATAATGGATGTCACTGTAGCACATACTCATGGAATGTTCTCCAGTGTTAAGCACTTCATATGATTTCCTCATTTAACTCTCACAACCTGACATCTATTTCAATTATTGCCTTCTTATAGATGACAAAACTGAGGTATGGAGGTTTAAGGAACTTATCCAATGTCACATAGACTACCAATGGTAAACCCAAAAAAGACACTTGGGATCCTGATTCCAATTCTCCCACTCCTTCTAGAACCGGTGCTTGTGCAGATACTTCATGGGGAAAGGAACAGAAGAAGAATGGGAAGGCTGGAACACTGTCTGAGCCACATATCTTCCCGCTATGTGCTATGGGGGCTTCCTTTCCATGTTCTCCATGAGAACCTTTTTTGACAAAAGCACAGCCTGGCGAAGCTCCTCTCACTCTCAGAGGCAGAAAGGCTGCCGAGAACGGAGGAAAGTTTGCCTGTTACCTGTTTTCAGGGTCAGCCAAGGTCATGCTTCGGGTGACATAGCACATCTTGAGGGGGATGTTCTTACGATCTCTGTGGAAGGAGAAGGACTGCGATGACAGCGTTTCTGCAGAGCCTCCCCCCAGCCGAGGGGACTCAGGTGGAGGCGTTTCCCAGCCGATCTCAGACACCGGGGACCCTTTCTTCACGTAGGGTGTAGCTTCTCTCATGTACTTCACTGCAAACAAAAGACAAGAAGAAGCGCTGTTAAGAACACCGGGGTCGAACTTATGGAATGTCTGTTTCTGAAAGAAGCGTGCGTTGGACAAGCTCTCAATACCAAGCCTCTTAAATTCTGAACAAGATGTGGATGTTTCTGTTCCTTTCAATATAATTATACTATTATTTAAATTACATGCCCGCATCAATTCTCAGAACTTGCTATTACGGTGTCCTGCACTTGGGAATTACTTGTGGCTTTTTTCCCCCAGCTCTGACAATGTCTATCCATTCTGAGTATAAGTCATATTCCAGGAGAAAGAGTGGGAGGAGAATGGGAAGTGTAACTTGAGCTGAAAGGCATATGATTTGATGAAGATGTAAGGAACCTGGCAGCCACATCACTGCCCAGGATGCTGTTTTTATGTTAAGAAGCAAGGGTGGGATTTTCAGTTTAAACACTGCAAAGCTCCTGTGTACAAAGAAATAGATATGAAAGTATACATTCTAATGACAAAATTTGTAGTTGCAAACCATTATTTTTCAAGGCTAAAATTAAAATATATATAACACGTTAAAGTCATTGTAATCTCTGTAGCCATTAAAAATGACATAGATACAGGTGTGTTGACGTGGGAAGACCTGCAAGATATATGATTAGTGAAAACACGAAGTAGACAGCAGTCTTACTATAATATTTTTGTGCATAAAATCAAGAGCGTATATATACTTGTATACCTACAATTATTTCTAGGTATGTAGTCAAGAAAATATCAATAGCAGCTTATTCTGAGGAATGGAAGGAAAGGCCATGGTGAAAAAGAAATAGGCCTTTATTATTTCTTTTCTAGCTTTTTCTAGCACTTTCATGTTTAACCATATTCATATATTACTTTCACAAAGTTAAAAAAGGTAACAAAAACTGAGTAGAACAGACAGAAATTCTACTCTTTCATGTTTGCTTTGGTAATAAGCGATGATTTGCCTCTTCCAAATTTAAATATTTGATCTTTAGTGACCTTTTCAGTTGACAGGGCAACCAAGATTCTGGAAACATGAATATAAACTTCTGTATCCTTCTCTCTCTGAGCCCCATATTCTCATTCTCTGCTGCACGGCAGGGAGAGATGCATGGCTTAGTTCCTTACAGGTGTCTGTTATTCTCAATGGCAGTGGATTGGAATGAATGGAAACTAGGTGACATCTATTTCAGAACTTGGATGAGCCAGTTCACAAGCCAGTATTACTGTGGTGAGAGACTGGAGCTAGGTTAGGGAGACTACAGAGAAGAATGGCATGTAGTGTTCATGCTCAGTAGCCATGACATCAGAGTGACTGCAGTAAACACTGTGGTGCCCTGTCTGCATCTTTTTCCTGCATCTGAGTTGCTGTGAGTTGACTGAAAACAGAGTGTCCCCATTCCCCTGCTTTGTGGAGCTGCTCTTGGCCCAAGAGAGGCTGCAAAGACTGAGAGGCTGCAGAGTGGCCGCCTGACCCCAGACAGACTCTCAGAGATGCTTCTAACAAAGCCCACTAGAGACAGGACCTAAAACAGGTATGGAAATCACAATACAAAGTACAGTGACTATGTTTTATAATGGGAGTAAAGTGCTTTGAAAGATTCCACAGGCATGAATCCAGAAGTACCAAAGACAAGCCTAGGTCTATAACAATTTCATATACTGATTACATAGCCAGTTGCATGTAGGATGGACACATAGTGGGGTAGTCAATAAGATGTACACAAAAGAGTCATTTTAATACAAGACACAGGACAAGTCATTCAGTACCAACACATATTGAAAAGAAGATAGTGAAATTTTAACTGAATACAAGTGTAATTAGTAGGTGTCCATGGTTCCAGGGCACCCTCAAATCTGTGAGCAGAGGTTACAGTTAGAAAAAGAGAAAAATCACTCACAAATGGTGTGTTTAAGGAAGATTTGTTTCTAGGTACTATATTTAAAGAAGAATACAGACATGGCTAAGAACAAATGGAGACAATTCCCGGGGACTGACTTTAGCCCTGTAAAGCTAAATGAAGTAGGCCTCTTCTTGAATAATTTTTAATCTTCTGTAATGTATACATGTGTGTGCATATATATGTGGTGGTATAAATATGTGACTATAAATGTGGGTAAAGCTTAAAAACTAGAAAGGAGACCAAGAGACAGCGAAAATAGGTCATGAGGAAGGATGAGTGTATGTGAGAAAAAGGTCGTGTGGAACAGGAAAGGAAAAGAGACTGGAGGGTTTATAAGGAAGGATTAGGGATAGCAGGAAGATGGGATAGATGGGAAGGAAAAATCACTACAGTGTTCTTTGTTCAAAAAGACCACAATGCTATCTAATACCCTGTATGCTAATTTAAAAAATAAAACAATCATACTTCTTGCTTTTGTAGAAGGCAAAACAGCACCTGACTTTACATATTGTAGAATTCTACTTATTGATATATACAGGAAGTTCAAGCATCAGTTGAGATGGGTTGAGAATTTTATTTGAGTGGATTATTATCCTTCAGATTGGCGTTTAGAATGAGTGTCTCAAGAGTGAGAACCAAGGGTGCTCCATGAATAAGTGACATTTGAACTTAGCCTTAAAAAGGGCAAGACTAGGCTGGAAAGATGGCTCAGGGTTAAGAGCACTGGCTGTTCTTGCAGAGGACCCAGGTTCGGTTCCCAGCACCCACATGGCAGCTAACAAAGGTCCATAATTCCAGTTCCAGGGAATCTGAAGCCCTCTTCTGACTTCCACAGGCATTTCATGACATGGGTCCACATACATATATGCAGACAAAGCACTCATACACATAAAACAAAAAAATAAAGAGGCTAGGACTTTAAAATATAGAGTTGAGGGACTGGAGAGATGGCTCAGCAGTTAAGAGCACTGACTGCTCTTGCAAAGGACCTGGGTTCAATTCCCAGCACCCACATGGCGGCTATGAACTGTCCTTAACTCCAGTTTCAGAGCAATCCAAAACCCTTTTCTGACCTCTGCAGCATTGCACGACACAGATACACTCATATACATGCAGACAATACACTCATACACATAAAATAAAAATACTAAAATAAAATATAAAAAAATTAGAGTTGAGCTGGGTGTGGTGGCGCACGCCTTTAATCCCAGCACTCAGGAGGCAGAGGCAGGTGGATCTCTGTGAGTTCAAGGCCAGTCTGGTCTACATAGTGAATTCCAGGACAGCTGGGGCTACAGGGAGACCCTGTCTCAAAAAGACCAAAAAAAAAATATTATAGTTGAAAATAACAGTCCTTTTATATGCTGTACTCTGATTTGTAATTTTGATGGCAATTACACAGGAAAGGAAAATCAGACCTCAGTTTGGAAGAGGGATAAAGAATGTCTGTCACGCACTGAGTCATGGGCCAAGTACTGAAGCAGGTTATTCATGTATCTTCCTATATTTAAGATTCCCAGTTGCTATTTAAGGACCCATTTTATATTTAATGAGGAAACTAAGGTCTAGAGAGGAAATTACTAAGGTATCTTTAATTTATAGAGTATCCGTGTACCCATAGGCAATATAAGCATAAAGATATGTTGGTATCCTTTTCAGAAAAGCCTTGTGGGCTGAGCACATAAGCTGTCCCTTGCAGTTAGTAGTCTTGTATACATCACTGCATACTGCTCAGAAGTTTATCACACATGGACTTACAGGGTATAACAGTATTAAAACACTGGTTTTTAATCTTCTGTAACATATACATGCATAAAGATAGTATAATAATGTCTTGAAGAAAGTTTACTTTATTGGGAGTACTATTTGTGTAGTGGTGTGGCTACTGTTTGATTATCCAGATGTATTCCCTGAAATCTGGCTATGCCACTTAGATAAGCGATGCACAATGGCAAGTGCATACGTTTTGATTTTATTGGTAGGCAGTGGCAGTAATAATGGTATTCAATGAGCAAGACGGTGGCCCAGTCATTGGCCAACTGTAGAGGGAATTCCCAGCAAGTGTGACTGGGCACAGCTAAGAGGAATGATATTCAAAGTAGGTCCAGCAGTTCCAGGCCCTCAGGAATTGCTTCCAGACACAACCCAAACAACATTCTAAATATCCTCCTAGACATAAAGAATTCTAGAAATATGTGGTTTGCTCTATTTGTGGACAAAATCTTAGCTGAGAAGCATGTATTTACCAAGTACCCACTTATATGATATGGATTTAGGGTAATTTATACAGAAAAGATGGTATAAATATGCCTTGAGAAAATTTACTTATTGGGAGTAATAATTCTGTAGAGTGATTCTCTTAAATGATCAATTGAAAATAAAGACAAAGAAGATATTTAATAAGGTCAGTGTGATAATTTAGAAATTTGTTCATTCACTAAAATATTATCAGTCTGTCTTTATAGACAAAGGATTGTGTGGCCCATGAGTGATAGGAAATAGCCCCTGATTAAAAGACATTTAAGTAAAGAAAAAGAGGAAGAGAGGGAAGGAAGTAAGCGACATGAATACTTCCATTAAGTTTTAAACTTGGTTTAAAAAGGTATTAAACTTGGGGCTGGAGAGATGGCTCAGCAGTCAGGAGCACTGACTTCTCTTGGAGAGTACCTGGGTTCCATTCCCAGCACCCACATGGTGGTTAACAACCATCCATAACTCCAGTTCGAGGGAATCCAACACCTTCTTCTGACTTCCGTGGTCATTGCACAACACAGGTGCACTTATATACACCCAGGCAATACACTTAGATACATAAAATAAAAATAATAAATAAAATACATTTTTCTAAAAGGTACCAACCTCTACAAATTTCCAGTGGCCTCTTAGAATCAAATGCAAATTCTTTATGGAAGAAAACAATTTCATCCTAGGCTCAAATAATGCTTGTGAACCCTCTCCAAAGGCAATGAGCTGGCATAAAAATCAAAGAAAATATTGCACACAGGAAATAAAGTATTATGAGCAAGAGCTAGCGGGAGCACTTGATGGTGGTTAACTGTCCTATGGACCTGAAAGCTAGAAGTGGGTTGTTGCAA